CTTAAGATATTTGTTGCCAAAAAGATCTTTTGGGAAACACGTTTAAAGTGACAAAGAACTACCACCTACAGACTCCCAATTTATAAGGAAGATGAATTCTGGAAATTCAAGAATGTGGACATGTGTAAGGATGGAAGGAATTAAGAGTTGGTATGACTGATCTAGGCTGACAGCTGTTCCTCTTCCTTAGGATGCACCCATTGATGTCTCTTATACCCTTGAGGACCAATCATTAGTTCAAAGGTAATAAATATTTGAGGACTTATTTTAAAACGGTGGGAGAAAGGTCATTACACTCCAGGAATCTAGCAGGCCCACAGCCACAGATAATTCATGTAATGGCTACTTTTCTTCTTTGGATCACCTATCCCATTAGAATGGGCTGAAAGTTGGATTCTGCCATTATCCTAGAAAATTATTTTTCTTAGTGTCTGGTTTTTTAGTGATTTGAAACTTGAGGATTAGTTGCTGGAGTAGGGTGGGGACAAAGTGGGTCATGTCTATTGTTTCTATGGGAAACTTCAAAATCACATGGAATTAACTCATGTATAATAATCCCTTTTATTTGTATAGCAGCTTTCTTGAAGAATCTTTACATATAAGCTCATGAATACTTTCACTGATGGGCCTAAGGAACAGTAAAGAATAGATAGAGAGAATCCTCCCTACCCCTCTTCCCCACCAAAAAAGGAGGCTTCTTGCTCACTAGCAACATAACAGTAAACAGGAATCCCTGGCTTAATGTTTTGTTTGACTTTAAAAGCTTTTGGTGTGTCTGTTTTTCTTCCTCTGTAGACCAGGAATGATTCGCTTTCGAGAAAAATGGCTGACGGACATTATCGAGACCAAAAATGATATACTGGAAATACTTGCTTCTAATTCAATATTTATTGCCTGATTTTTACCAAATGTTTTAGGATTGTTTTTCTAATCAGAATATATTAAAAATACAATACTGCACATCAAACCACAGAATATTTATTGAATAATAAACTTGAGGCACACAAGCCAGCTGTATTTTTTTCATTTTCCATTCTGCAACTTCCATCACATTAGCAGAGTAACCAGTAAGTTGTTTTCTATTTTCTAAAAGATTTCCCCCATCACTATGTGTGTCAGTTTAGAGTCTTGCAGGTACAGAGCTGAGTTTAGAGAGTTGCTAAAATTCACCTGAGAGACCAAACTAAGATTGGTACTTGGCTGCTTGTTCCTTCGTCTTGAGCCTAAGTCTCCAGCCCAGACACACCTCTTTATGAGCACAACTAGGGAAAAACAAAATGGCAACAGTTCTATAGCTCATAATACATGCAGTCTGAAGGTCTACTCACAGACCCCTTCATTTACTGTGAGTTAAACCTCACTGCTAAATAATACATTTTGCTCTGAAACTGGGCATGCTGCCTTCCATCCATGTATTGTACATGATGGCAGCAGGGTGGCTTGAGGAATGGGGGCAATGAAACAGGAATTGGCACAGTCATCACCCTTACTTATTTCTGTCTTCTTCCTATCCTCACACCAGATCATCACTTGTTCCTACATGCCCTATGAGGCTCTTTTGCCTGGCTGCAAAATTTTAAGACACCAAAGACAAAATTACATTACTCATTGAATAATTATTTACAAGTACATTAGAATACATAATTACATAGACAAGCACTGGAAAGGAACACAGAATACTAAAGACAATTGATGTGGTAGAACTGTAAATTTTCTTTTTTTTTTTACTGTTATATTTAAACAATAAATAAAAAAAGGAGGAAAAATCCAATCAGAGCAACAGGCAAGGAGGTGGGAAACTAGATAAGTCTCTCTGGAGAACAAAAAATATATTTAAAATACAATAACCTTACTATTTGACTTATGGCTCAGGTGAGTAAACACAGTTTGAAGCAGTAACTCTCAATGAGCTGAAAATAAAATACTTTTAGCCCTTTTATTCTTCCCTCCTTGTATTAGTCTGTTTTGTGTTGCTATAACAGAATATCTGAGACTGGGTAATTTATAAAGAAAAGAGGTTTATTTGCTTACAATTCTGGGACAGCTATGTCTGGCATGGGCCTCAGGCTGCTTCCACTTACGGCGGAAAGCAGCAGGCAGCTGTTGGGTACAAACAGATCACATGGTGAGAGGAAGCAAGAGAGAGAAAGGGGAGGTGCCAAGGTCTTTTAAACAACCAGCTCTTGTGGGAACTAATAGGGTGAGATCTCACTCAGGCCCCCCTCCCCTAGCGAGAGCATTAATCCATTCATGAGGGATCTGCCCCCATGACTCAAACAGCTCCCAATGCTGCCACATTGGGGATCAGATTTCCACATGAGTTTTGGCAGGGACAACACGTCCAAACTCTATAATTCCTCTTTCCCAAAGAATATGCTACTGAAGTTGTTCTTTGGCAGACTGTTCCCAAACAAACACTGACGAAAGAAATGGTAAGGTTCTGAAGTAATTTATTGTCTTTTCTTTCATTTACTCAACAAACAATTGTTGAGTATTTATGCTGTACAGGAGGCAAGAGAATCAAATAAAAATTCATAATTTTCATATATCACAAGATTGCTGCATTTAAACTACCTTGCCTACTGAAAATAAGAAAACATACTCATTTGGTTTCTAGGAAACAGTACCAAAAAATAATGTCCTTAGAGAACAAAGTTTTTAAGTGCGGATTATAAAATTTAGGTTTTATTATACAGGGAAGTAGATGGATTAAGACTCACAAGTTTGGGACCTAGTTTCCTTTTAACTTTTGAAAACGTAGGGTAGGCAGTAACTATGATTATGTATAGATAAATAAAAATCACTTCAAATTTAAGGATCATAAATGTGGCTACATGCTGAATGCTGTTTAGTAGTTGTGGGTTAAAAGTAGACATTTTCCTAGAACATATGTTAAACAGTAAAACTTTTGCTTTGACTGCCTCATTTAAAAACTTTTGATAAAAACCACTTTTAAACTATTATAAGGAGAGAGGAAATTTTATAATAGCAAAGTCAGAATTCCCCATTACCCAGATAATTTAAATTTACCATAGGCATAAAATAATAACGCAGATCAAAACATCCTTAACAAAAACAGCCAAAACTTTCACTGTCCCCTCTCACTTCACTCATGTGACCTAAGTAAAACTGAACAAAATAAGAGAGGGAAAAAGACCGTAATCTCACAGTCCCACAATTTTCCATTTCTCCCAAACTTTAAAGTCAATAATAGCATAAAAAAGTGATAAAGTGAGGGGGTTCTATACAAACTTAATGTTTGTAAAACATTTAAAATTAAACTGAATGACAGATTTAAAAAATAAACTGAAAGGTTTAACAATTGTATTAGTCAGGGTTCTCCAGAGAGACAGAATCAATAGGATATGTTATAATTATATGAGAGGGATTTATTAAGGGATTTAGCTCATGTGGCTATGAAGAAAAGGCCCACGATAGGACATCTGTAAATTGGATGCCAGTACTGTGGCTCAGTCCAAGTCCAAAGGCCTCAAAACCAGGGAAGCTGATGGTGTCCTTGGTGTAAGTTCTGGAACCCAGAAGCTGAAGAGTCTTTAGCTCTGATGTCCACAGACAGGCGAGAAGAGTGTATCCCAGCTCCAGGAGATCAAGAGAGTGAGCTTCACCTCTTTCCTCTGTCTTGTTCTCTCCAGACCCCCAGCGGATTGGACGGTTCCCACCCACACTGAGGGTGGGTCTTTCACACCCAGGCCACTCAGACTCTCATACTAATCTCTGCTGGAAACACCCTCATGGATACACCTGAAAAGATTGCTTCACCAGGTTTCTCAGCATTCCTTCATCTAACCAAGTTGACATCTAGAATTAACCTTCACAACAATGTTTAAAATGAAATCTGCTTACTACATAAAGGATAGAGTTAAAAATGCTTAATATCATTTTAGTTTCATCCTTATGAAACAACTAAATAAAAATACTAATTCATTGTATTTTCCCTATCAGAACTTTTTTTTTTTTTTTAGCAGCTGGCTGGTAACAGGGCTCAAACCCTGGATCTTGGTGTTACCAACACCATGCTCTAAACAACTGAGCTAACCAGCCAGCCCTGTATCAGAACTCTTGACCATAGCTGACTCCCATTCTTTTTAGATGTTATCCTATAATCGAAGTACAGCTTAGATTGAAACAATGTACTTACATTGGCATAACGGTAGACTTCCCAAGACTTTATACTTGAAAGAAACATTTTTAAGTAACATTAAGAACTTAAAAAACCTAATGTTCACATTTGCAATTCAACAAGTCTGTGGGTTAATTTGATTTCTCGTTTGTTGTTGGTTTTGTAGTGGAGGTAGGGGTATAAACAAAATACATTACTTCCAGGGAAGACTATATATGGTATTATATAAGTCAGTTTTCAAATTCCAGATTTGCTTTTTTCAGCAATGCCTTCATTCTGTTAACAAAAGTGGCCTCCTATATCAAGTCCATTTATAACACATTCAATGCAGAGGAATGAAAATTTCCCACAAGTTCAGTTGGGGGGTGGGGGACAGGCATCATGTACAGCTAAAAGTAGCACTGTCCCATGGCGGGAGATTTAAGTTTCTCATCCTAATGATACTTTCTCTCCATGACACCTCCCCCAATACAGTAGGATTTAATTCATAATTTGGATTTTTTAAACCAGAAAGTTATTATGGTCAATCCAAAAGAACCCAAAGAACTTGCTAAAGTTATATCAATAAGCAGCTTTTCATTAAAGGACTGAAAGAATTAAATAGAAGGCACAGTAGCACTGTAAAGCTTTTTCAGAGCATAATAATCTTTCTGTGTGTATGTGTAGAACCCAGACTTTTTTTTTTTTGTTAAAAATGTCTGCTGAGGGGTCGGCCCGTGGCTCACTTGGGAGAGTGTGGTGCTGATAACACCAAGGCCACAGGTTCGGATCCCTATATAGGGATGGCCGGTTAGCTCACTTGGGAGAGCGTGGTGCTGACAACAGCAAGTCAAGGGTTAAGATCCCCTTATCGGTCATCCTTATAAACAAACAAACAAACAAACAAACAAACAAACAAAAAATGTTTGCTGAACAATCAGAAAATCCTTATTTGTCATCCTTCCCTTTGGTCTTTCTGTATACCATCTCTCGAAAACTGGCCAGAATCTTGTTCTCTCTCTTTCGTCTCTCTTCTTGGTTAAAGGATGCAAGGGCTCTCTTCTCATCAGCACTATAGATCTGGTTCTCTTTTCGCAGTCGCACAGCCTCCATTCGGCGATGCCTGGAGATAATTTTATTTTTGGCTTAATTTCTCAGTTATTCTCATAGCATGTCCTCATTAATCCTTTCTTAACACAGTGCTCTATTTAAAAGCTGACAAATAGAAACTGTTTTTGAAATGAGTTTAAATTTTCAAAAGATCCTTCATTTTTTTTTACCAATGTGTTCTTTGATTCATTTCTAGTATTCAAATAATGATCTCTGATGTTCTGTCAACATAGTGAATGTTATTAATTTCAAATAATAAGGGCATGAGACTAGTTGTTTCTAGTAAAACAACCAGAAATGGGCAAATTATTAAACTTCCTAGGTGATATATGTCCATTTGCCTTTGTGGAATTAATAGAATATATGAAAGATTTAACTTGTCATCAATCATGTGGAAATTCTTTAAAGTTCTAATTTCCAGTATAACCATAAGAACCAAGTATAACTCTATAAGTGAAGAGGAGTCTTTGACAGTGGATTTAACTTCCTTAGAGTCTGGTAGTGGCTCAAAGAAAAGAAAGAAGGGATTTAGCACAAGGGCCATATCAGTAGAGTACTGGGATAGAGGCATGACATCATCTTTAAAAGGTCTGTTTATTTAGAGGGAAAACGTCAAGAAAACCTGCCTTTTAAATGTATGTACCCAATCCTACACAATCAGTTCAAGAAGCTTAAGATTTGTCTAGAAAAATGGAGAAAAACTGGGTAAGAAGAGGGGAGAATAATTTTAGGTTGGTGTTGAAGGTTGGGGAGTGCAAAATAGGAAAATCAAGGAGATGACAATGTATTTAGGTTGCTCAGGGTACAGTGAGTACAGCAATCTATCTGGAACAGAAATGCTACATGAAGGATGCTGTAATAAACATACATGTACATGTCTCCTAGTACATGGAAAATATTTTCTCTTGGGTACCCAGGTGTGGAGTTGCTGGGTCATAAAATATATGAATACTCAACTTTCCAAGATAATGCCAGACTGTTTTCCAATGTGTTTGTACCAATTTACATCACCACTAGCAGTAGTTAGTTAAGAGATCCTGTAGATCTACATTCTCTCAAATGCTTGGTGCTGTTACACGTTTGAATTTTTGTCTATCAAATGGGTAGAATGGGCCTCGAATGGGTAAAGTGGTATTTCACTAAGTTCTTGATTTCCATTTCCAATAATAATGAACACCTTTTTATGAGTATATAGACCATAGGTATTTCTTCTTCTGACAAATGCCTGTTTGTATCATTTTCCCGTTTTTCTTTTGGGTTGTTTATAGGTATTCTTTAAATGTGCTCAATACTAACTCTTTAGCAGGTGTGTGTATTCCAAGATCTTATCTCAGCTTGCAACTAAGGTGTCTTTTGATGAACAAACGTTCTTACTTTTAACCTAGGCAATTTTAATCAATATTTTATTTTATGGGTAGTGCACTTTTTGTCTTCTTTAAGAAACACTTCCCCACCCCAAGGTCTAAAAGATATTTGCTCTTAAAATCCTTAATCTAGCTGCATTGCATTTTATATAATGTGATGTAGGGCCCTACTTTCATCTTTTTCCTATGGATAACCACTTTTTCCCTGTTCCATTTACTAAATAGTTCCTTCTTTCTCCAATGATTTGGCATGCAATCTCTTTTATATACCGAAGCTCCATACATGTATGGCTCTATCCTGGGGCTCTGTATTTTATTCTATTGAACAATTTGGTTGTTCCCCTACGCTTTGTAAAGTGCTGTAAGTCTCATAATAAGTCCTTATATCTGGTAGGTCAAATCTCACCTTCCTGCTCTTCTGTTTTAAAAGTGACCTGGCTATTCTTGGCCTTTAACATATAAATTTTACATATAAATTTTAGAACCAGCTTATTAAGTTTCATGAAAAACTCTATTGCGATTTTGATTAGAATTATATTGAATCTACAGGTCAATTTAGGAAGAACTGACAGCTTTACAATATTGCCTTCCTATCCATGAACATGGTATCTCTCCACTTATTTAGGTCTTATTTAATGTCCCTTAATAGTGTTTCATAGTTTTCTCTGTAGAGAACTTGGGCATCTTTTATTAAGATTTATTCCTAAGTCCTTCACATTCTCTGATACTACTATAAATGTTGTTTTCTTTTTATTTAATTGCATTTTCTATTCTCTGTTGCTGGTATATAAAAATGCAATTGATTTTTGTGTATTAACCTTATATCCAACCATTTGTTAAACCCTCCACTTATTTATAATTCATCTGAAGATTCTTTGGGATTTTCTATGTAAACAATCATATAATTTGCAAAAAATGACAGTGTTATATCCTCCTTCCCAATCCTTATGCTTCGAATTTCTTTTTCTTGTCTTACTGTGCTGGTCCTCCAATATAATGTTTCAAATGTTGGTCCTCAGGATTTCAAGATTTTGGAGGTGCTTTGGGTGTTCTACAAATATTCGCCCCCAATGATATTTAAAAATAATTATCTATTTTAAAAAGATTATAAAGTTTTAAAGAATCCAGCATTCAATTTGATCTCAGTACTGCTGTGCTGTTAGCTCACTCTCCTGGTTCTTCCTGGCACTTTGCTTTCTCTTCCCTAATTTTATATTCATTTCCCCACGCTGAACCTGGTGTCTTTCATAATCCTTTTTTTCTTCTTCTTCTTCTTTTTTTTTTTTTTGTGACTGGCTGGTATGGGGATCCAAACCCTTGACCTTGGTATTATAACACCATGCTCTAACTGAGCTAACCAGCCAGCCCCCTCATAATCCTTTTCTGCTATTCATTCTCAAAAACCTGGGTCCACAGAGAGCTGAAGGCAAACTTGGAAACCAGGAAACACTGTCTTGTGAAAATGCTTTCCTAACTACCAAAATGTCACATTCCTCTTGAGGCTGTGATAAATAGCTAAATTTAACTATATTTTCCAGTAGATTAAACTACCAAACAATCAACTAGGAAAGGACATTGGAAAGATTGATTCTTTGAAGTTGGAGATATAGCTGAGTTTGGGGCTGGAATTTTAGACAACCACATTTATACCAATAAAACCAAATCACAGCAATATTTATACTCTACTTTTCATTAGGAATAGTCACTTAATGAAAATCAATCACCAGGATATAATTCTGGTAGTAAGAAAGAAGGAAAAGATCTAATTATAAAAACTGAGCTCAATGCCAAGAACATACCTGCTACCACTCATTACATAACCTGAGCATTCAAATGATGCGATTTCTTCACTTGTCAAGCCAATTTCACCTCTTCGTGGGATACGTTTTCCAGCTTTTACATATTCAGCCATAGCTGCACCTTCACCAGGTAAGAGAGCATGGCCATAGCTACAAAGTAATTCAGAATTTAGAAAAGGTCCATTAAATCATCTCAATATAAAAAGCTCATCAGCTAAAGAGGGCAACAAAAAACCATTTTCTCTCAGACAACAGCAGGAATAACAGTGTTGAGTAGTAGTGTGCTGGGAAGCCCAATGTGAATTGCTAATTAAAATAAATCACTAATTAAAATAAACTAGTGACCACTGCACTATGACCTATATAACTAACCCAAAAATGCAGAGATACTTTAGAAGAACAAAAGAACTGATGTTAGTGAGAATAGATTCATGGTTTACAGTTATGGATTAATTTATCCCTATTGGTATTGCCATTCCTGCTTCTGCCTCCAGCTGATTCCCTTTCCCTTTTTCCCTTTAAAAAAAAATCCAAATCAAATAAATAATATATCTCAGATTAACATACTTATAACCAATAGTAATGCTATACAGTAACAATTATCTATTAACTTTCATTCAAAGGGACTTTAAAAGCTTCTATTCCTTCATTCAGTTCAGTGAATGTTTCTTAAGTACCTATTAAACTCAAAGCTTGTAATACAAAAATAATCTCTGTCCTTGTGGAGTTTACATATTAATAAGAATATAACTCCAATACAAGGTAAAATGTATAATACCATGCATAAAAGAAATAGAAAATGCTATGAGAATTAAAGGGGTAAAAATCACACCTACTTGTGGAGAGGAAGTATTAGGAATCAGCATATGCCCCCTCCTTTGGAAACAGGCCTTGAAGGATAGTAACGATTTTAACAGAAAGAAATTGGGGGTAGGGGGGAAAACAGAGGGCAGGGAAAAGAAGGGAAGGAATGTTGGGGAAGAAATAAGCTAAAAAAGGCACAAAAGTGGGAAAGTGCATAGTAAATACAGGAAAAGTTTTAGTAGTCCAGCTCAGTTGGAAGCTGGGGTATAAATAAGGGAGTAGAGGGAGATAAGCCTGGCAAGGTAAGTTAGGGCCAAACTTTTTGGAAGGTACTTTAGGTATTATATATACGTGGCTACTTACTTCAAAGGTTTATCATCTTGAGAGGCAAGTGTTTTTGGAGCCTCTGGGCCAATTAAATCTGAGGGTTCTTCAGCCTCTGTATAAAAGATGTTCAGAAACACATTTACATTTTGACTAACTGGTTATTTTAACATTTCATCTGTTCTGAGTTAAAGTCTATTGGTAGAACTTACTTGATCGATCCTTCCAGGGATTCTCCAGAAACTCTTCTTGGGAATCTTTAGAGTCTGAATCACTGGGCTCTTTTCTGTTCTTCTTAGACTTCTTTTTTTTATATTTCTTCCTGTAGGGATTATAATTCGATACAAATTCACTTAATATTCCCATGTTAAAGGGCATCTAAATCTTTCAAGGCAATGAAAGGTAAGACTGATTAAAATGATCTGAATTTGTAGCTTATTCAAACTTGCTAGAGAAGAATTTCAATTAAAAAATCTCCTAACTTATTTAACAAAATCATGTTTCACTATAAAAAGATCACTAAAGGGAATAATGAAATATAGTTCTCATGTTGTAGAAAGACAGAAATAAAAAATAAAACAGCCTAAAAAACAGTGTTTAGCAATTTGAGCACTAATACTAATTTTAAGTGTAATGGATTAAAGTCCATCAAATATGTTTAAATCCTTGGGTTCATAATGATACTTAAAAAAAGTCCAACTCATTACAGGTTGAGCATCCCTAATTTGAAAACCCAAAGTCCAAAATGCTCCCAAATCCGAAACTTTTTGAGCGCTGACATGAGGCTCAAAATAAATGCTCATTGGAGTGTTGTGGATTTCGGATTACCACATTCAACTGATATGTAGTCTGCAAATATTCCAAAATCTGAAAAAAATCTGAAATCTGAAACACTTCTGGTCCCAAACATTTTGGATAAGGGATACTCAACCTGTATTCTGAAAACTCATGAAACAAACAAAAAAGTCAAGCAATTATGTCCTGCCCTTCCTATCCAAACTGTAATTCCAGGTACCCAAACAGTTGGTGAGGATAAATTGCTCTTATAGAATTTATCAATAAATGAAGAAAGCCAGAATTAGACTATCACCATTTTGCAATCCCTAATAAAATAATGGATTTTATTTTATTTATTTATTTAATTTATTTATTTTATTTTTGACCAGTAAGGGAATTGCAACCCTCCACACAGTGTTGTCTGTGCCACGCTCAGCCAGTGAGCGCACCAGCCATCCCTATATAGGATGCGAACCAGCGGCCTCGGCACTGCCAGCCCTGCACTCTCCCGAGTGAGTCACGGGGCCAGTCCATGGATTTTTTTTTTAAAGAATGCCTATCTTTTAGAGAAAGATGCTGAACTGTTTATGAATGGAGTGATATCTGGGATTGGTTACAAAATAATTGGGGGGGGGCAGTGGAGACTACCCATGAGTTAATAATTGTTCAAACTGGGAGATGGGTACATGGGGGATCATTATACTATTTTATGTCATTTTATATACATTTTAACTTTTCCATAATAAAAATTAAAGAAAAAACTGACGATCTGCGTTTCTTCTTCTTTTCCTTTTTCTTGGCTTTCTTTGCTCTCCTTTTTGTATCTTCATCTGCAAATTAAAGCACATTATAAATGAAAAAAAATTTTTTTTAACTCTAAAACCCCAATACTTTTTTTTTGGTGGCTGGCCAGTACTAGGATCCGAACCCTTGATCTTGGTTTTATAACACTGCACTCTTACCAACTGAGCCAAGTGGCTACCCCTAAAACCCCAACAATTTTGAGTAGATGAATATACTATTGCTGTCCTACTTGTTACAAGAAATTAATTCATTCAAACATTTATTGCTACTTGTCAGGAACTGTACTAGGCACTGGGGACAAAGAAATTAAAGTCACACTAGGTATTAGATGATATAGGGTATTATTATTAATTTTATTGTGTGAGATAATAGTAGTGTGGTTAAGTAGGAAAATGTCATTATTTTTTAGAGATGTGTACAGAAACATTTAGGGTGGAAGGGTGACGTTTCTAATTTACTTTGAACATCTCAGCAAAAAACCCATATTTGAAGCAAATATGTCAAAATACTAAGAACTGTTAAATATGAGTGATAAGTAAATGGTATTAGTTATACTATTTTCTACTTTTCTGAATGTTTGAAGATTTTCATGATAAAAAGGAGAAAAAAAAACGTGTATGTTGTGGGGTGGGGGAGAGAATGCTTTCTAGGAGCTCAGTCTAATGGAGGAGACAGATAAAGAGATATATACAATCCAGTGTGACAGAGGGAAGCATGGGGTGCTCTGAGCATACAGATGAGTCTCAAAACCAGACTGATTTTGGGCAGGTGGTTGAGGAAGAGTTGGCCAGGAAAAGTTGATTTCAGGAAGGTTTTTGAGGAAAAGTTTACTAGTCTTAAGCTAGTTCTTCTAAAAATCAGTTGATTACAAAAGCAATACATGCCCACTGTTGTGATGAGTAGCCAAGCTGGAGGGAGAGAGAGATTGGCATTGTTGGTAGAGGGACTCTCTGTACCAAGTAACAGAGTCAAGAGAAAGGTCATACAATACTGAGGAGAAAGAAAGTAGTTCTCAGGCTACAGAAGATGGTGCAAGAGAAAGTGACAGGGTATATGTGGTTACAGAGGGATCAGTCAGGGTCTTTACCCTGAAGGCTATGGAGAGCTATTGAAGGATTTTAAGTAGGGGACTGACAAGCTCAGGCGTGATTTAAGGAAGTTCAGTCTTCCAGCAGTAAGGGAAAAAAGTGACACTGGGGCCCAGGAAACTCAAATGATATCAGAGAAAGGGGAGCCACTGTGTAATATGTCAACCCCAAGGGAGGGACCCTCTGGTTAATCATCAGCCAAGAGAGGGCACAAAAAGGTGGCTTTTTGTGATGCACTACCCCAGATGGGGTGCCTTAGGTCAATTGGCAGCCAGCCTGAAGAAGGTACTTTATGGCAAGCCTTTTTAAAAATTGCAGAGGTGCCCACTGGGCATGAGAATTGCCCAAAAGAGCCCTTCCACTGGGCTGATGTGGCACTGCAACGCTTACTTTGGTGCCACACATCGTGCAGCCCAACCTCCTGACTTTGGTCTGGTGCCAGGTGCCTTGTATAACTACAAACAACCAACCTGGAATCACACTGCTTAGGACTGAATCCCAATTGTCACCTTGGGTGTGGTACTTAATAACCTGCTCTGTGCCTCCATTTCCTCATCTATAAGATGTATCCTATGATTTAATGGCAATAATATAAAGCACTTAGCAGAGTGCCTGGCAAACAGTACACATTCAAAAACTCTTCACTATTATTATTATTATTTTTTAACAGCCTTCTTCTAAAATAAGTTTTAAGAAGTAAAACTAGTATTGAAGTGAGGCTTGCAGAATGATGTTGGCTTTCTTACCACTAGAGTCTGTTTCAGAATCAGAGTCACTGTCACTATCTTCAGAATACTTCCTGTGTTTTCTTTTAGATGATTTTTTCTTTCTTCTTTTCTTGGACCTTTCTTTTGAATGACTAGACTTCTTTTTTTCTTCTATAGAAAATACAAATAAAAAACTAACTGCTAGAGAAATATTTCTGAATATCAATTTTATTTGAAATACTGAAGAGGAATAGACAATAGGCAATTTGAATAAAATCAATCTAATGTTCAACTATTTATAAACTTATTTTTTTAACTTCTCAGTAAAAAAGCTCTGTATTAAAAAAATACCTTCTGAAGTAGAAGCTGAAGTAGAGCTTTTCTTTGGCTCTTCATCCTCTACTGGTGTATGTTCATCAGAGCTAAGTTTAAAGAAAATGGTTGTGAGAATTAGAAAAGTGATGAGATATGAACCATGGGGTATAAAAATACGGACTTAAAATTTTCCAGTAATGACAATGATTGCCCAAGAACCATTAAAAGTAAACACTGGACTACTTTTATAAGAGTGCAATTGAAGGGTCTACCACTTTCATAATAATAGCTTACATTTGCATAATGCTTTAGAGTTTACAGAGTGCTATTCAAAGTGAAAGCAGCATGGAGGATTTATATTTTCAGAAGAAACTACTGGGCAAAAGTAGAGAAGCAGGAACTACAAGGAAAGATGAAAGAAACTGGAGATAAGAAAGCTGAGGGAAGACTTCATAATTTATTTGAAGTGTGTAAAGGACATATGGTATAGCAGCAATTGCTCTGTCTCCTCAGAGCAAGAAGAACCTAACAAACTACAGTCTAAAGAGATTTCATTCTGTTGCAGAGAATTCTGAAAATGAGTATTATTAAAATACTATAATAGTTCAGAAAGGGAGTTTCCACATCATATAATCTTTTCCTCTGAAGATCACACCTGGAATAATTTAGGTATTTTCTAGAAAATTATTTTTAGGATTCCTTCCAACTCTAATTCCATGAGTTCAGGTTCTTCAAGCATTTTCCAAAGGTATCTATAAGAACAAGTTTCAGACAATAATGCTTTATCACCTGGTGACAAATTACAGTTTTACCTCTCAAACACATTGTCTCAACAACCCAAAGTAGACACAGAAATAGAGGACAGGGAAGAAGAAACTTATGAATAAGACAAAGAGTAAAGAAATAAGGAAAAAGAAAAAGCATTAATCCTTCAGACAGTATTGGATATAGGAAAATCAATTAAACAAAACCATACTAGTATATTAATTTTTAAAAATCCCTTTTCCAGTGCTAATATTTGTCATGCAATCTGCTACTGGGCTAGTTGAGAAAAAATAATTCAAAATACTATAAATGGTATCACTTGTTTTAACACTGAATCATTCTATGAATAGGAAATTAGCACCCCATGAATTACAATTTAAGAAGAACAATTAGCATACTAAAACCCACTAGCAACATGTTTTAATCCTTAGATATGTTCCATGTTTTTAAAACTTAAGGGGTATAATAGCATAAATCACAAGAAAGAATAAAAAATGTGAGATGTACTTAATGTTCTTCACTTAACAAAAATTTTGACAACAGAATTAGGATTTAAACAAATATTAAACATATTATAAAAAGACATTTTGTAACCACTTACTCTGGTTCAGGATTCTTTGGAGAAAGTCCCCATACTTCAGGAGCTCCCAACTCTCCAATCCTCTCTCTCTCACTTAATCTCCTAGAAGATACAGATGTTAATTATAACTAAATGGCTGAATTGTTTCCTAAATATTTAATCAAATTCAAGAGGAGTACAGTTAAGTCTTATTTTCCCTTTAAGTTCTTAACATTAATAAAAACTTGGTTTAAATGTAAACACATCACTTAGGATTTGATGTTCTGATAATACTACCAAGTGATACAGACTACTGACAGCCTGAGTGGCCGGATCAGAAATGATAGCCTGGGAGACCATCAAGTTCATCTCTTCTGCTGAATCCATGACATAGCTCCTAATTGCTCATTTCATCATCTTCAATATGTGACAGAAACAGTTTTACATTTGAAAATAACTTTAATTATTTATATATGTTTATGAAAGTAAAGAGAAGTCTCTTTTGATTTGGTTAAACCATCAGTTTTCAGAAACCCAGGAATTAATGAAGAAAATAAAAATAAAACAGAAGTAGAAAATAAATGGAGTTCTAGAATGAAAAGTTTTATTTGATAAAAAATTGCACTCAATGAAATATGGGGTTCATTTCCTGTTTTAGTTCTTTTTTGGAAAAGGAGTACATTTTCTATCCTTCAGAAGACACTAACATTTTTTTCTCCTTTTGTTTTATGTTTGTCATTTATTCTAATTTGTGCTATTACTCATAAACTGCAAAAACAAAAGGCTCAATTCCTCAAAGTTTAGCCGCTTTAGCCATTTGTTTTAAGAAATCCTTACAAAATACATACAATTAGTTTGATCGAATAAGTTATTTTTTACTTCTTTATTCAGGGGGAAAGGTATTATAATTGCAAAGTTAGACTCAGAGGGTTTCCCACTTGAAGAAACAGACAAGCTAAAAGGGGATGTACTTACAACCATACCAGGAATATAGGCATGTAGGGGGAAAATGCCTGCCAGACTTCGAAGAGCACGAATTCTTGTTCTTATACCTGTTACCACCTGGCTTCACCTGTACTGTTAAATTATCTTCTACATGTACAAATGCAAATTTCATTCAAGCAGTTCTGACATCTTTTGGTGAGGATTCTCCAATAAGAAGCCATTTGCTTTTCGATTGACATAGACTGTGGGCACCTTTCTGAAAAATTTAATTTGGAGAGGTAGGTCTCCAACCTAACTCAGGACTGTTTCTGTTTCTGCTCCCATGCTTGAAGCACTAATAGCTAACACTTATGGAATATTTATTATGTTCCAGGCACTAAACTATTACAACTCCAAAAGCCTTGGTACTAATTTTATCCCCTTTTTAACGGTGAAGAAATGAAGCTCAGAGAGGTTAAGTAACTTGCCGAAAGTCACACTGCTATTAAGTGGCAAATCAGGGCTTCAAAGGCAGTCTGATTCTGGAGCCTATCCTTTCCATCACTATACTTTATTACCTCCCACTGCTGGAAGAAAAAAAAAAAAAAAAATCATGAAGACATCTCCCGACTGTTGGAACTTTCACTCGTCCCTGAATGTCTGTAATACTCCTACATTTCTCGTTTTTTTAACACGTAGTACGTGTGAAGCACTTGGTACAGTGCCTGACACATAATTTAACACTTAATAAACCTCACATATTAAGACTTACAAAGCAATAATTATAAACTTTTCCTTTTTAAACTATGCATTTTCCACTCCAATACTCACTCTCATTAGAGAGATCTGATCTCACCCTGGCGTCATTTTTCATGGTCGAGATTAAGACCACTTAACAAGACCTTTCTCAAGGTAGTCTCATCTGTAGTTTAGCAGATCACGTTTCCCACATTCATCTAATCATCTTGTCTGAGGGGAAGGTTTTCCTCTTATCCAATTTCAATCCTTAATTTCAACCCTTCCCCATTCCCTACAGAATATTTCCACTTACATATCTTACTTCAAACTGTTCCTTCATTCAACAAGCAATGGTTGCAAGCGTACAAAGTACTAGGCACAACGAATTCTGCGATCAATAAAAAAGGGCTCCTCCTTTTTATGAGTTTAGTCTAGTGGGAACTAAAATCATGCTCGCGAATGATAACGACACAACCAAGTAAATGCTCTAATTCCAGTAGGTCTTAGGCTCTTGGCCATGCCGCTAATATGCCAGGAGGATGAAGCGGATTGCAGGAGACCAGGGCACTAACTCTATGAAGGGGCGCGAGAATGAGTGAAAACGTAAGGGAAGAAAAGGGCCAATAAAGGGTCGCCGTGGGTGGACTGATGAAAAGGGATGAAAGGGGCGCAGGCAGGCAGAGGGAGAGAAACACGGGATAGTCAGAAGCGGAATAAAGGACAAATCGGACTCCAAAGGCTGGTGGGCTCGTACGAGAAGGTGCGGCTGTCTCACTCACTTTTGCCGCAGACTCTCCTCCCTCTCCTTGTCCAGGAGGCTAGGCCACGGCTTGTCGCTCCCGTAGGGACGAGAGTAGCCGCCATAATAGGCTGACGAGGAGGCAGAAGAGAACGGGGTGCTGCTCCGCGGTGCAGAGGGCCGCTCTCGAGAGCGCGACCGCGAGCGGGAGCGGTAGGACTGGTTTCGGGAGCCGTGGCTGTAGCCACTTAGCTGGTGGCTGAGGCCATTCCGGTCCCCGGACCGAGAGCAAGAGTGCGAGCAAGAGCGGCGGCCCCGCGGGGAGCGAGCAGATTTGCTGGGCTTGGGGCTTCGCGACGAACTGCGACGTTTCCCCCCGGAGCCCGAGGCCTCCAGGTCGGGGCTGCGCGAGCCCGACACCGGAGCCATCGCGCCCGCTGGGCCCCTAAAGCCGCGGGGGAAGGGGGCGCTCTCTCGAGCCAGTAATGATCTCGATTGCCTTGGCTCCCAGAACCCGCCGCCACGCACCCGTCAAAAGTCTGAGGAAACCTTGGAAACAGTTCCGGGTACGCCGGCAAACTCCTTTCCCGGACCTAGGCGGTCCTCCTGCCGACGGGAGGGGATGTGTGCATCAGTTTAAATAAGCCGGTGGGGCAACCAGGTCGGCGGATCCTTCCGGTTCCTAGTTAGGCTCCTCAAATCCTTTCTCGGCCTCGAACTCGAAAAACCACAAGGAAAGGACGACGGAACGTAGGATACATTACACTGAGCGGCTGTGTGAACAACATAGCCAATTCTGCATGAGTTTCGTGTGTTTTCTGTGTGTAATTATATAGTGTATGTATATACGAATGTGTGTATATAAAAATTATATATATAATTTTTCCTTTTCTTTCCAATCTCAAGCAAAATAAGGAGGGTTTGTCGCGATTGGGGGTGAGCTATGATGTCTAGGTTCCATATTGCCCAGTTAGCCTAGAGGGCACAAATTCTATGTTAATGAGTTGAGCCTGATACATTCCAGTTGAGATCACTGCCCAGAGAAAAACTGCGTACTTATCCCACAGCCACCCATCTCCGCCCGATGTGCCTGGCAAAAGGAATTTGTAACCCTTTCTTCCAGCCTCTTAAACTAGTCCAATTGTATGCTAGCCCAGCAATATATAGCTAATGATCAGTATTTCTATTCATTTAATATGTACTGATTTGGATTTTTGAAGGTACGTAAATTTGCTGTGTATATTCTGAACCCAGACTACGAATAGCTTGATGGCCTCTGAGATTTTCTTAAGAAGTAACTTATCAGACCATGAAAACGAATGCCAATTAGTTATGCAAAATCTCCTTTTTTGAGGGTTGAGGGGGACTTAAGGGAAAGATGTATGAAGTAATGCTAAATGGGAAAAATGGACCACACTATCGGATATCTTCTATGTAAAACCAGTTGGTCATCAGGCAAGGTCCAAGAACTGTGCTGAGTAAGAGAAATTATGTAATTTGGGATGGGGACTTGGGGAAATTTCTAGTATAGTTTTTGATGGAAAAACTACTGCCTAACTTTTGTGACACCAAGCTGTACACTTTCCCATCAATTGTCTATAAAAGTCAACTTTGCAACAGTGGTTGGTCTACCTGCCCCATGACTGGTGTGCATGTGCTTCAGTTACAAAGAAAAAAACCCTGCCTGTGCACCTCTGATAGGCATGATGCTTTTCTTGCCTAGTTTCCTCGGAGCAGCTATTTATTTATTTTTTATTTTAAAATTTAATTGTACATACTTGTGGGGTACAGTGAGTTGTTTCAATACATGCATATATTATACAATGACTCAGTTAAAGTAGATAGCATATCTATCACCTCAACATTTTTTCTTTTCTTTGTTGTGATTATGGTCAAGATCCTCTTCTCTAGCTATCAGTCTCTTAACACATAGCTTATCAGGATTTCTTTTCTGATCATGAGTTGTCACTACTTCTATAGGAAGGAGTTTGATGATTTTAGGCTCCTAGATGTATGAAAAATTTTGCAAGCTCTTGGGTCAGCCTATTTGAATTTCACATTGGGAAGACTGTCATAAATGGACAGTTGTTTCTATTGGACCACACTGGGAGGACCTGTGTCTGCCAACAGATATTTTGTGGCCAGAGCTTGTGGGAGTGCTCAGCTGACCAAAAGAAGCACAAAATGAAATGGAGTGATGTGACCATTCCAGGATATGTTTGAGATAAAGATTTTGTGTGCAAGTGTGTGTGTGTGTATACACAAAAGATAGAGAAAACATCTAATAAAGCAGTGCCCAGCGCATGACATGGATGGAGAATTTGAGTGCTCTACTGCCCATCAGGCCTCTAGGGGAACAGGAGGCTAACAGAGGGGGTCTAGAACTAGGCAGCTCCAAAACTTGGCTAACATTCCATATCTGGAAGCGCAGCCAATGGTTGTCAAGTCACATATTCCAAATAGAGCTGAACAACTACCAATTCACATATATGTGTGAAAGGGCAGAAAAGGGAAAGAAGATTGGATATAGAGATAAGTAAGATACTGACATTCCTTATTTGCAAGAATTAGAGTACAAAACTTTTGTTGTGCTGATATTTAAAAATAAATGTACTGCACATTTGCTATTCCTCTAAGGGCAAATGTTAAATATGGAACAGTGGCATTTGATTCCCTCAGGCTGCTGCCTTTTTTTCCTTTTCCTCTTTCCGCCCCCCCCCCATTCTTTAACTTTAAAAATGAATGAACAGGACTTCCTCAGAATGCCGTTTTGCGAAATTTAACTGAACACTACATGAAGTACTTTTGTATCTATTACCAGATAAACCACACCAATAAACCCCAAACCCGAATAGGCATACCTTGATAACACTGGATTCAATGAGTGGAGATGCTAGGCATATTTATGCTTTGATCTTGTCTTGCTTTTTAAAAAAAAAATTAATAGGCTTTATGTTTTTAATTCAAAATATTTTAACATTTACTTGTACATATTTGTGGGGTGGGATACAGTATGTTGTTTCAATACATGCATATATAGCATGTATATGATAGCATAGTTTTCTAACCATTCGTCAACCACTTTTCTTCCTCACCTCCCCACTTCCCCACCCCCACCTCTGGTAACCATTATTCTACTTTCTACTTCTATGAAAACCATTTTTTTTTTTTTTTAAAGATGACCGGTAAGGGGATCTTAACCCTTGACTTGGTGTTGTCAGCACCACGCTCACCCCGTGAGCAAACTGGCCATCCCTATATGGGATCCGAACCCGTGGCCTTAGTGTTATCAGCACCACACTCTCCCGAGTGAGCCACGGGCCGGCCCGAAAACCATTTTTTTAACATTCCACGTATAAGTGATATCATGCAGTATTTGTCTTTTTGTGCCTGACTTACTTCACTTAAAATGATGGTTTCCAGTTCCATCCATATTGCTGCAAATAATAGGATATAATTTCATTTTATAGCTAAATAGTATTCCATTGTGTATATATACCTCATTTTTTTTTGTCTATTCATCCCTTGATAGGCATTTAGGTTAATTCCTTCTCTTGGCCATTGTGAATAGTGTTGCAATGGACATGGGAGTGCAGGTGTCTTTTTGGTATATTGATTTCATTTCCTTTGGGAAAATATCCAGTAGTGGGATAGCTGGGTTGTAAGGTAGATCTACTTTCAGTTTTCTGAGGAACTTCCATACTGTTTTCCACAATGGCCATACCAGTTTACACTCCCACCAGCAACGTGGGAGAGTTCCTTCTCTGTATCCTCATCAACATTTGTTGCTTTTTGTCTTGTTGATAATAGCCATTCTAACTAGAGTGCAATGATATCTCACTGTGGTTTTAGTTTGCATTTCCCTGATGATTAGTGATTCTGAGCATTTTTTCATGTGCTTTTTGGCCATTTGTATGTCTTCTTTTGAGAAATGTCTGTTCAGGTCCTTTGCCCATTTTTAAATTGGGTTGCTTATTTTTTTTGCTGTTGAGTTGTTAAGTTGTTTGGGTTCCTCTTTTTTTTTTTTTTTTTAACTTGGTGGCTGGCCAGTTTGGGGATCTGAATCCTTGACCTTAATGTTATAACACCATGCTCTAACTAAATGAGCTAACTGGCCAGCTCAAGTTCCTTATATAGTCTGGATATAGCCCCTTATCTGATGTGTAGTTTGCAAAAAGTTTCTCCTGTTATGTAGGTTGTCTCTTCACTTTGTTGATAGTGTCTCTTGCTGTGCAGAAGCTTTTTTTTTTAGTTTAATGTAGTCCCATTTATGTATTTTTGCTTTAGTTGCTTTTCTCCTATGTATTCTTCTAATAGTTTCATAGTTTTGGATTTTTTTTTTTTAGCTTTTTAAACTAATATTATTGTTTCTTACATTCTGTGATATTGTTGCAGAGCAGTTGGGAGGAAGGGGGAGAGGGGAAAGGGGAAGGAAATGGGGTGGAAGAAGGTGGAAGGAGGAAGGCAGGATTGAGGTCTGTGGCACCCCCTGCATTCCCACAGGGAAGACCACAGCACTTCCAGTGGTGGGTTGGTCATTGATGGGCTGGGTGCAGATGTCAGGGGTGTGTGGCAAAAGCCCCCCCCCCACCATCCCAGCTCGGGAACCTGGGGGCCTTCTTGCTGCAGCTTAGTGGTCCTCATGGGCTGGTTGCACATGTCAGGGGGGCATGGCTGAGGCCCTTGGCCCACCACCACCCTGACTCAGGAGAGCCCAGGGCGCTTCCTGTGGCAGCTTGGTGGTCATCACTGGGCTGGTTGCGGGTGTCAAGGGGCATGGCTGAGGTCCCTGGCCCTCCTCCCTTTCTGACTTGGTAGCCCAGGGGACTTCTGGTCCTTCTAGCTGTTATATGTGTTCTTTGGTGAAATGAGACCTTTACTAGTTAATATCAAACTTTGTCTCTGATTGTGGGTACTTTGTTTTTTCTTTCAGTGATGTTTTGGATTATTTGCTGTTCTCACCACTTAAACTCTGTGCTGGAACTAATTTGTTGTCCTTTGCTTACTTCTAAAATGGGGGGACTTCCTATGGGGACCAGTACTTGAGTTCTGTGGTTGAGCTAAATTGCTGCTTTGTTGCTGATTCCTTAGGGAAGGCTTTTTGTGCAGCTCAGGTTTTAATGGTTGACTTTATAGGTACTTCTGGGTCTAGTGAGATCTGGTGCACCTGGGTCGTGTAGTAACTCTGGTCTGGGCCTGAGTCTTTTCATCAGACTGCACCCCACACAATTCTATATTCCTGACCAGTCTCCTCTGAGTGGTCCTATGCTGATTGGGGGGCAGATCAGCTGTCTTTGCTTTGCCCCAATGTTCTGCTGGTGGGTCCATCTCCCCCACCACCTATGCTGCAAACACTTCCCATGGGATAGGCCATGCTCCAGTCCCTTGTGATGACTCACCAGCCTCTGAGTGGCTCCTTTATTTCAGTTGTTGTGGCTCCTTGCTCCTATGTGGGTCCACAGGAACCCTATTACTGGTCTTGCTGGCCTGGGGGCAACCAAGGCCCTCTTCTTCCCTGCCACCTCCAAGCAACTTCATCC